CTCACTTTCTAAAAAAAACCCGGGACGCCCGGGACAGGACGTGAAATACGGATATGTCCCGTGAAATACGGACGTTTGGTCACCCTACCTTAAATCTTACCTGGTTCATTATTGCAGAGAGAAACAAAAGGCTGTGTATCATTTGTGGTGAGTGTTAGGGTTAAAATGATAATAGTCTGTGTTTTTTTTTATGAGTCTGTAAAATCAGGTTGTTAGAGGTTAATAACAATCCTGATGTAGGACACAGGCTAAAGGCCAACAGACAAACCATTAAGCTTCTGAGTTCTACGCTTTAGACTTATAAATAAAAAACAAAAGAGCCTATGTCATTTTATTCAAGTCATAGTTATGCTAAACTATTTTAGGTTTTACCGTGTAAAATATCTAACTCTTCAATACTATAAGTTAAAAGTAGTAGCATGGTTCCCTTAAATCTTACCTGGTTTGTTCTTGCAGAGAGAAACAAAAGGCTGTGTATCATTTGTCCAGCTTACATAGTTGCTATGGTTACATACAACAGAGCCCTCCTGTACGTAGACCGTCATCAAAGAGTCCTTCAAATCTGGTTTGGTCAGTGGATGGCAGGTCTGATTGTAACATCTATAGTTGCCACTAACTTCAGAATCCACCACTTTACAAGTTGCAGTGAAATTACAGTACTGGGCGTCAAATGAATTTATTGTTAAATTAACTGGAGACACTGGATCTGAGAAAAGAAAGACGAGATTGAATTAAAAAAACTGTGCTTTTATAATGTTTCAAAACAGGACAAAAAGAAGAAACGTACCTTGGACTGTGACTCTGTAATCAGCTACAATCCTCTCTTTAAATCCAGTTGCTGTTGCAATATAGTTTCCGCTGTCTTCATGTTGCATATTTCTTATTACCAAAGAATAGTTTTGTTTGAAAAAAGATGCTCTGCCTTGATATTTCCCCTTGACTGAGGGTTCACTGCCACCAGGGAATATTACAACAACATCAGAGTTACATTTCCAGGTAAAAACAAATCCTTTTTGAATTGTGTCTACATCCAGCAGCAGGTCTGATCCTTTCTTCACAAACCGAGTTTCAGAGCCTGAAAGAACAGAAGTTTTATTTTAATAATTAAATATCATGATGTTCAGTTCCTAGAAGAGAGGTTTCCACTATTACACCCTGACCCTGTATAGGGGAAGTACTTTTCCTGTTAATTAGATAGAGCACAGAAATAATTAATTGAAACTTAATTTATTATTTTTCATCATACATACATGTCTTGCATGGATAATGCTGTGAAAATATGTTTCATAGCTGTCATGCATATAAAGATTTGTATTTCCATTTTACCATATTTCTATTATATACATTAATGAAAACAGTAGTCTGTAACAAATTCATAATTTGAAATTGTTACATCTTGATCTCGATAAAATTCCTAAAATTAGATCAGTTTCAAATGAGATGTGTTTTTTTCCCTGCGTAAACAGATCATTGCCTCTTGTATTTATTGTATCCCTTAATTTCCCCCGGTGCCTGTAAACATTAACCTTAAAGTCTTTCCATCATTCTCATTTAGATTTTGGCTTAAAATTTGAGCAAGTCTATTTAACACACGATTATGCTTTGGTCTAACTCATTAAATTATAGCTGTGTTTTTTAGTAGGTTTTGTTTTCCTCTCTGAAAGGTGAGGCTTCTGCCAAGTCTCAAGTTTTTTGCAGCATCAGGTTTTCTTCTAGGATTGCTCTGCATTCTAATCCATCCAGCATCTCCATGCTAAAGATTCACATAGCATGATGCTGCCACTACCATCTTTTATTGGGGCGATGTTTAATTAAGGCCATGTTAGTTTTCTACCATATCTGAAATGTTACCGCTACATGTAAGTGAAAACATATTTGGTTTTAGTTTTAAACCTCTGTAACATTATTATCATTATTTAAAATCACAAATGGTAAC